CCCCAAAACCCCAAAACCCCATGGCTATAATAAAACTGATAATTGATGAAACCTTTAAATTAAGTAAATAAGTTACAATTCAAGAACATTTAAAATCTAAAACAATCATATTCTTAAAAAAAAACATATTCTTAAATATTATATGAAAAGCAGTTGCGGTTAAAGCCATCAAAATCTAATTAGTCCAATTGAAATGGAGCAATTAGGGAATTCGCAGAAAGCTTCTTTCATTGCTTTGCATAAATGCATAAAAAATAATACTCAAGAAGGAATTATTAGGTGCTAACCTTAGACTTTATTTGGTATAATTCTTAAATAAAGAGTTTCCTTAATGACTGGAATAAGCATATTCATAGTCTCTTTGATGGGGAACCTAGCTGTGACATTCTTTGGTACTACTGCAAATATAGTTTTGAAAACATAATTCAACTTGAATAATGATGAAGAGCTTATATAAGTTAGCAGCATAATATATATGATAACAGTCATAACATTGGCTGTAGTCAGTCCTTTTGTTGGGGGTCTATGTGACATTTTAGGAAGGAAAAAATGGATGTCTATTTTATTTATATCTACTGCAGTTCTTTGTTCAATCCTACCTTATTCGGCTAGAATTTGGATTGATTTTACAATTATTAGGATTATACTAACGATTGAGAACAACTCAATGATAAACAACACCTTAATAGCAGACTATGTAGAAAAATAAAGTATCGGCAAAGCAGTTATTTATAATAATTTTATGAGGTACTTAGGAAACTTCATGTCACCTATACTTTTTCTAAATCTAATCGCTCATACTTCTATTAAGATAACATATAACATAATAGCTGTACTGCTATTTTTAACAGGTGTGTTTCTATTCATTTCCATTAGAGAACCTTTAGATTAATAACAGAATTTCAAATTACTAATTATTAAGGATTCTATCAATAATTTGAATAAACTCGATTAACCTTTAAGTTATTGGAGTAATATCAAGAATGGACTTAATGAATGCAAAAATAACCCAATTTTGATATTCTGCTTAATTCAAAACTTTGTAGTAAGAATGGGAACTGTACTAAGTTCAAATGGCTACACTTTATGGATTTTATCAAATATTCAAGATTAAAAACAAGCTTTTGAGCTTTTAGCATTTGCTCTTGCTCTCTCTTGTGCTCTTAATTTCTTGATATAAATTCCATTAATAAAGTTACTTGATAAAATTCGCCCCAAATTCTTGCTATGTTTTGCACAATTATTCAGAGCTTGCGCGCTTCTGATGCCTTTATTTATTGACAATAAATGTTCTAAGCAAGTTTCTGCTAATATTGTTCTGATGTCTCTAGGCAATGGGATGACTAACGTTGCAAGAGATATGATTTTTCAAAAAAACCAAGCAGCATAATTACATTTTTAAAATCTAGAGGAGCAGTTCTAGGGTTTATGGACTTATTTTAAAATGTTGGAATTCTAACTTATTTATCTATTTTCGCAATATTTTCTAGTACTATCGGACTAGAAGGATGCTTCGCATTCCTTGGTATATGTGATTTGATATTAATAGCAATTTCAACAAGATTTAATGTTAATACGAGACAGTGAAGGCGATCAAAATTTAATCGGAATAATAATTCATGATTAGCTATCAATAATAATTTAAACCTGAAATTAAGAAAAATGTAAAATATGATTAAATTTTCATTTAGACTTTTCACTTACAAAATAGATATGCGTATTAAGAAAGATGGGGTTTTGGGGTTTTGGGGTTTTGGGGTTTTGGGG